AACCTTCCGGTTTTCGGGTAAGTTAAAAAAAAATAGAACCCGTACCCGTAACTGCTCTACCCGTACCCGACCCGTACCCGACAACTTCGTACCCGTACCCAACCTTCGGGTCGGGTCGGGTACGGGTCGGGTTGCACATCTCTAATAGGCAACTCATAATAGAAGGTGGACTTAAGCATACATTCAGTGATGCTCTAATACTCTTACGCTGCATATTCAAATGTTACTGCACAAATAGGCATACGCTACGTAACGAACTTCTTCAGTAAAGTACTGGAAATTATCTAATCGATTTACTATGCGTAACGAGATTTTTCCTTAATGTGCGTAATACGCGTAGTGCGCATGTTACGTACATTAAGCAGAAAGCTCGAAGATCTCGTATAGAATAGTTAGACTGAAAAATTTCTACGCAGCGCAAGAATATTAGAGCACACCTCTGAGATATTTGGTGTCTGCGAGATATTTGAGATATTTGCTCAGTATGCGTAATCCGCGTATTGAGATATTTGGTGTAGGTGAGATATTTAAGATATTTGCTCAGTATGCGTAATCCGCGTATTGAGATATTTGGTGTAGGTGAGATATTTGAGATATTTGCTCAGTATGCGTAATCCGCGTATTGAGATATTTGGTGTAGGTGAGATATTTGAGATATTTGCTCAGTATGCGTAATCCGCGTATTGAGATATTTGGTGTCTGTGAGATAAACGTTTTTGAACATGTTATTTTAATTATTTTTCATATTTCTTACTTGTGATGGTTTTATTGAAGTTATATCAGTTAGTGACTGTATTGACGATAAATCATTCATATAAAATTCAGCGAAATTTTCGTCGAGCATAGGTTTTATTGATAAAAGTTCAATATGTACACAAGCGCTCGATTTAGGCTTTTTATTGTAAACAAATGCTACATGCGAGACGTCTTTATTCGACCGTTTTTATTTTGATTTGCGGTTCGATTCCGCGCGTGTTTGAATAACGCTAATCAATGAGAGGATGCGATGTAAATTCTATATATGAAACACGCGCGCCCTTTTCTATCAAGAATTTCGAAAATAATGATCATTTTCGTAGCCGGTCAGAACTAACTATAAGTCACAACTTCTTCTCTAACAGTTTCTGTATGCATACCTATAGACATGAAAGCATTAAACGGCTTGGGTTTAATATATTTTTTTAAGAAATGGTTTTTAAAAAGCCTTTTCGAGTTTCGTTCGGAAAAAGTTTTATCAACGATGAAAATATATTTTTTCGTTTTTTCGGAATGGAACCAAAACGTATAAACGCTGTTTGTCGGATAAAAAACATTTTTTTTTACAGTGTAGACTACTATTCTTATCATTTTTACGATTTAAGGGCAATAAATTGAGTATTGTAGATATTAATAGAGCGGCTAATTTAAATCGCGTTTTATTATTCTTTATGCGCGCATTAATTCTTAATAAAACGCGATTTAAATTAACTGCTGTATTAACATCTACAATAGTATTCTTATGTTATCGATAAGTGAATTTAATTTGAATACCCATCAGTACTCAGCTGTTCTATGTTATCCTGCTCGTTTCTGTTGTTGGAAGTGTTTACATGTTTTCATATTACACATTTTTACATTTATTACATAGAAAGTAAGATTCAGTAAAACTTTAAATTATTTAAGCAAAAGACTTTATTAACAATCCTAGAAAATTAAAATATTTATAAAACACTTCATGAATGATTTAACGTTACATAACATCGAAAAGTATTTCTATTCTAAAAGTTCATCAATTCCATAGAAAGGTAAAGAAAGTAAAAGACTTGGAAGGTCTAAACTAGTGACAGATATAAAAGTATGAAAGTATAATAAGCTAAAATGAGAGCGTGTATAGCCTTGCATGTTAGCTAGAACGATGTCGGGAAGAATTTTTGATCATCTAACTATATAACTGTTTTCAAAGAGTAAGCAGTTTTACGTAAAAATTTGTCCACGAGTATTCACGTGCGAATGAAATGGAAGAAAACAAATCATAGAATACCCTAGGATGAATTACGTTGGAATAAAGTATTTTTCCATGAATGATGATGTATAGAATTGTTTTCTTATTTATTTACTCCTACAAAGGTATGAATCAGAGGTACAGAATCCACCTGTGAGATTGAAAAATTCTTCACGACCGAAGAAATTTGATGAGTATCCTACCTACTTCAGAGTAGAAGTGTTTGTCTGAAAAAGGTACATTATCTACTTTTTACTAAAGTTTTGTCAGTTATAGAAACTTCAAGAAAAAATATTACCAAAATAAAGTTAGAATATTCACTTTGATTCTTATATTTCACTCTTAAAATACTCATTTAAGCATAATTTTTAGGCATATCGAATATATCTTGTTTTGTTTTTTATCATGAAATATTAAATTTCACTTGTCGATGTCATGTATACGTTTTTGTTTCTTTTTAAACTTTAACTCTCATATCCCCAGTCCAATGGCCACTGAAATCGGATTATCCCATTGTATCTGTGCCCAAAGGTACCGAGACAATGAGCATTAGGTAGCTTGTCCAAGACTATCACGCGACGGCCGTCGTTGCGGGATTCGAACTCCGTATCTTTGAAGTACGTTGTCTGTCCACTAGTCGATTGAACCACTCTACTAAAGTTATTCAATAATGAATTACTCGAGCTTATAATGGGATATCAATTTTTTGATGAAACATTTTTAGATATAAATGATCACCAAATAAAGATACTTTTGATCACCAAATTTTCCAGCGTGCATCTCACATTTTTGTTTCTCAACAGAGTGTAATGTACAACACAAACATATTCACTGAAATATTAACCAAATTAACAATATTTTCACAGTTTTATTTATATCTATTTACAAATTTAAAGCTGTGCTAACTTTCTTGGGACGCCTTCTTGCTTTTCGTTTGTTTAATGGCTGAATACGTGTTTTATCGCTAACTTGATACAAGTTAAATAAAACTGCTAATCCAACAGAATATATAGAATTGTTTTCTTATTTATTTACTCCTACAAAGGTATGAATCAAAGGTACAAAATCTACCTGTGAGATTGGAAAATTCTTCACGACCGAAGAAATTTTTCAAAAAACTTTCCAACATAATCTACGAACAGAATTTCTGTTTTCAAAAAGAAAACGTGTGAATAGTTTTATAAAATATTAATTTTCGTTTGTATATGGAAATCAACATGTGAGATTCTCGTTAATGTCTTCTTTGTGTGTGGATTTAATCGCGCCAAAGGTATTTAGTTTCTATGGGTATGCCGAAAAATGTTAAAAAGAAAAATATTTAATTGATATTTAATATTAGTCGTTTAATATTTTTCTTTTTAACATTAGTCTATAGACCCTTTCTATGATAGACAAAGATATTGTTACAGACCAATAAACAATTGCTTGTTTTCTACTTCTTATCGTTACTTCCAAGTCTTGTCTTTGTGTGCATTTTTGTTTCGATTTCTACTTTGCTTTTATATCCGGTTCGAACAGTTCGAAATTTTTACGGTAAAGAGACAATTTTTTTTCTTTCTTGCCATTATGACGGCTGAGAAACAAGAACAATCTTATATAAATGATTTATCACCAGCAATTATCGATAACAAGACATCATTAATATTTAATAATTCACATTATTCAAAAATAATTAAATATATTCATTTAATCTTATTATTAGATTTTCTTTTACATTATTCAATTGCCGTTGAACTAGGTGCATTAGAATTAATTAAACGTCTATTCATATCTCATCCATCAATACCACTAAATAATTCAACAATTGAATTATGTCATTTACCAATTCGACAATATATTCCCTTTACCCTTAATGAAATGAGTCCATATATTCTATTTTTGTCTATTATCACATTATTTATTGCATTCGGATCTTTTCGTATAAAGTCCATTCTTCTATATCAAATTTATTTAATATTAAAATTTTTATTTTTTATTTTTTCAGTGTATCTGTTAGCAATTTATACATTAGTAAGTTTACAATCCGATTTTATTTTATCATCGATAACAATGATATTACCCACATCGTCAATAACGGAAGATGAAAGAAATTTTATCAATATTGACAGATGTTTAACTCATGCAAAAACAAAGTTATCAGCGTACATTTTTTCTGTATTAAATTCGATTATATTGTTTATAGGCATTGAATTTCATGATTTATTTAAAATTATATAAGCTACATAAATTAATAGATAGAAAAAAATGTTTTTGTTTTTGATTGACATCGTTTAAATAGACTTTGGGTTTATACATTATTAATTCAATTGAATATGAATGAAACTATAAGACTGTTGATTTTATGGACGAGAATGGTGTTTTTAGATAACAGAATTATAATTCCGTATAATTCCGTTCCCCCCTAGCCCTAATTAGGGCTAAAAAGAGAACGGTTGCCTATTTATGGTCAAATTTGGAGTGATTAGAGAACGATCAGAATTATAAAACGAAAAAGCTGATAAAGGAACTGTCATATGTTCGAAGAGTGAATTATGATCTATATATATCTTGCATTATATGCAAAAAATATTGTAAAAAAAAGTGAAAATATATGCGATATTTCAAAAAATTAGAGCAATACTAGATTTTTTTGATCTACCACGTTTTTCTATGTTTCTGGTATACTGTGGCCACATATATACCGGCTTCGTACTGAGCTTTTTCTAAAAAGGAGGAATTAAGGAGGAATCGCAAAATCTTGAAAGGAGGAACGCCACTAAAAAAGGAGGATGTAAATCCCCAGCTAAAAACACTAATTTCACATAATAGATGAGCGATACAGTTGAGCCTTGCTTTAGCTATAAATTAACCGGTGAACCGTTTCCACTTTTGTTATCCAGCCAACTACGGTTGAACTTGGACGCTTTTGGCATAAATATGGTTTTATCTAAATTGCTTTATATCTGTCCATGAGGACATTTTAAGCAACTGTCGGGCGATATAACTCGATATTAGAGGGTAGACAAAAAAATATTGAAGTAGATCGCGATAAGAGACATAGCTAACTGTAACGATCAATCATTGTCTACCGCCAGAAAGACCACGTTTATCACAATAGAAACCCATACCTTGTTTCTATCTAGATACGGATGGGTTATGATACATCTATGTATATTGTTGATCGCGTTAATTATGCTGTTTATCAGACGATGTATACTGTACCCTGATACATCTTCTTAAGTTCTATAGCGCTAAATCCCGATACTTTGAGTGTCAAGGTAGTTGCAGCATTTATCGAGATTATATTTATGTTCTAGTTGATTAAGACAATCTTTTTTATTTCAATAGTCAGGTGCTTGTAGTCTTCCCGCGATAAACGCAATGTTAGAACACTGCGTGCCACAGTGTTACATCAAGATATTCTGCTCGAAAAACTCAAATGTTTTTCTTTTTCGTTTTTCTAACTTTTCAAAAGTATTTTTTTCGGATTCACCGTTAAAATCTGAGTAAGAGAATGATGCTTGGCAGAGTTAGAAGGACGAAAAAGAAAAGCTTGAATTGTTTTGAAACCGAAGGGGTCGAAATTTTAGACTCTTTGAATTGTTTCAGGTTTTTTCCTTAAAAGAATTGCTTTTAAATTAAAAACCAATTAAAAACCACTTTTTCTTACTTAGCTCGACGAGCTTTATCGGACCATGAAAGAAAAAAAATACTGCTGCAAATTCGAATTACTGACACCTTGTATAGAAGATGTATCAGTTTACTAACCGATACCTAGTTTATCAGGATATATTGAAACAACACTGTATCGGATATTATCTAGATAGAAAAATTATCTGATCCGTTGCCACACTCCTACATGTCGCCATGAAAATTATAGCGCGATACGTGCCGATGAATAAGTGACCGCGATGCACCGTAACAGATTGGTATCGAGATATATCTGTATAGTACTTGATATTCGAAAGCATAGCGCTAAAAAATCTATCATATCCGTTGTCACACTGAGATGTATCGGTGAGGTGTCGATATAATGAGATACATCTGTCTAAAACCAGTATCGGCGGATATCGCCCTGTAATGTTTATCCCGACATATCGCAGTGTGACAACGGATACGATAAGTTTTTTATCGTGGAGAAGACGCTTTTTTCTATCAGAAAAGTCTTCATGGGTAAAGCTAATTGAAAATGAAAGCAAACAGATTATGCAATATGTTTCGGCTTTGTGAGAAGAAAATAGTTGTGTATCACTATTAACGGAGTTTTTTTATGTGGTCTCCTTTTCTTCAGTGGTTTCTATTCTGGTATCTTTTTAAAAAAATTCAAAATTGAGGAAGAAAAAAGATATCAAATGAATAGAATCTTCTGAATTCGAAATGTGCAAGATATCTGTACACGATGGACAGCGAGAGAGAGAAAAGGAAAATACAAGTTAAAATAATTATTGATGACACGACAGACGATGATAGGAAGATAGATGACAGAGATCTAGAAAAGGGAAAAATGCACATACCAAATAGAGAACTACTGATGACTCGCCATGCAGTAATAAATTTCTATTGACTACAAAAATACTTATAGTGCAATAAGGAGCGAGGTCACATTGTAACTATCACTACAAGAACAAACGGTACTATGTTCGTGGCAAATATAAGAAGCAACGTATGATAACTAAGGCCTTAAGAAGGCTGTTTGATCGAACGCTATTCGAAAACTAGCCAGCTTTGTCCAAAAAGGAGGAAAAGGAGGAGAAAATGGGCAAAAGGAGGTGAAAGACATATAAGACTTGTATTTCTTTTGATAAAGTTCTCAAACTTTAGATGATGTATTTTTGTGTACGTCATACTCAAGGAGAAAAAAGCGGACGTAATAATTTTGTATTTTTATCGTTTTTATGAGACTTAAGTAAACTTTGACGATTTTCTAAAGTCTATCAGAGTCTAAAATTCATGGATTTTGACAAGCTTAAAAGTCCATTAAAGTTCACGTGAGTCTAATATAAACTAAAAATACCAAATTACAAAGTCTGCTTTCTCTCCTTGGTAACGTCATTGATTTTCTCTAATATGAGGCTTACGCAAACTGATTGGTTCTAAACATATTTTTTTTCTACTGAAATTAGACAATATTAAAAATTCATTTTTTTCTAAGTCTAATACCTTAAAACAACAGTTTTTTTAAAATAAGTTGAATTCTTTAATATGATATACGTACGCTTTAGTCTTTCAGAATACAAAAAATTCCATTATAATTATGGTATTCTAAATTAAAACTACCAAATAACACAAAATCAATTTTGTATGAATAGACGTTCGAAGACACGAATTTATCTCTGCAGTAAACTGCTGTATTTGTTTTTTTCCAAAATGTTTCTGATAATTTAATCTATCTTACTGTAATATTTTTCTAAAATTAAAAGATTATCAAACTTTGTGAATATCGAACAATATTCACATTATTCATATGATCTAATCCAAGGCTCCATATAAAACAGAAATACTAACAGAAATTACTATTAATGTTATCAACATTAATAATATAGAATTTAATACGTTTACATGTTGACGGTAGAGCAGAAGAAGTTGAAATTAAAGTAGATCAGTTATTAGAAATAATTCATTTGATTTCACCGTGATACTCACTTGGAAACAAGAAGCTGATGCTAATACACTTATAGTTTTTAAAATTGACTTTGACTCTTGTTTGTGGTAGTACATGAAAAATCCTGTTATATGTACACTTTATTTTCATTCAGCAAAATATTTATTAAGAGAAAAGTGCATAGTAGACTAATAGTTGATGCTACAAAAACTGGAATGTATTAGATCGCTTCCATATATTGAACTTTGGAAAACTGTTTTGAATTCTATATAACACGGTAGAGTCCTGCAGATTACGACTTTTTGACAACCTATAACCTAATCTATACAAATTTTCGCAACCCAAACCTAACCTAACCTAGGTTAACCTAATACAACCGTTTGCAATTTTTTCCCAAAACCTGATTTCAGATGCCCAAACGTCAGCTTCGTTCCATATCGTTATGGTTTTTTATCTAAGCACTGTCTAAAAGGTAAGCTTATACAAAATAAATCACATTTTACATGAGTATAGAAATGAACCGGCTGAGTCTTTTATTCTTTAATGCAATCTTTGGGAAATAGCTTTCTGAATAGGATTCGAACTACGCTTTATTACTCAAAGTGTTTGCTGTTTTAATGTGGTCGTTCAAAATTGGTATTTTTCGTTTCGATTAAAAATAGATTATCAACGGTGTAGCCTACAACCTAACCTATAAAACAATAATAGAGCCAATTTACCTCGTCGAAGAGATAATTTTACGTCTAGAGAAAAAGAAACGAATGTTATCTTTTTTATTGAAATTGCTATTTAATCTGACTAAGTGAATGTCTATCGCAAATTCTCAAAAACTAATTAACTCAACGACTAATAGCGTTTGAACTTCTAGGAAAATAGTGTTAAGAATATATACTTTGAAATGAGTATGATTCCGTTGTAATCAAAGACACTCTTGAATTAATAGTATTTTCTCGTTGGGCACTAGTTTGATGTATATCTGTTGGTCTGATCTTTCTTTTAAATATAATTATCGTCTTCTTGCTGAACAAGCAGCCAATAATGAAAACCAAGTAAAAATAACATTTTTTAGTCTAATCTATAATTTTCAAATTCAGAGTATTATACGATTTTCATTCGTTCTCATCCTTGATGAATAATTTTATTTGCTATATGAACTAGTACATTTTTATTGTTTACAGCATTACTATCGTCATATGGATGGTCGAGTTCATTTAACTGAGAATAACTGCTTAAATTAGTTATTGTCTCGTTTTCTTATCTAAAATAGTTAAAGAAACTATCAAAATGGTATAGCAAATTATAGCACATGTGCTATAATTTATCTCTTTCATTTTTTTATTCCACCAGATGGTTCTTTTAAAAAAGCGGAATAATCTTGTTTTTGCCAATGAGTAAACTACTAACGTTCTTTATTTCTATTAAGGGTACCCTTTTCGAGAACAACATTGTCCAGTCTAGATTTGTGCTCGTTCTATCATCTTTTCTTTCCCAGTTATAGCAAAAACACTGAAAAACATCTTCAAATCCATGTTTTTTAAATCTTAAAATTCTTATAATTCGAAAAGAAAAGATAACCGTCATCTTTGTCTAGATTTTTTTGTTCGTGGCGAACAAAAAAATCTAGACCTGAGCAACGTTGTTTATGATAAAATTTTGAAGTTGACTGGATCAAGTTATCGAGGAGTCGAAATGTGACTGAAAAAACACAGTAAGAACAACACATTTTGTACATAGGTCGTTTTTTGTTCATGGCATTTGCGGCGATACATATTTCCACGAAACATCATCAGAAAGAAAGTTTTGGAAGATGCCTTATTGTGAAGAGAACACTTTCTTCAATCAAACTATCTGTAAGAAAAAATTTCAAATGTACAGGAAAAGAGGGAAAAGTTTATGAAACTATAAAATTGAGTTTTGTCAAGCTTTGAATGAAAAACTTAAAAAGTTTATAACATTTTTAAGAAAGGTCGTGGAATGGTCTCATTTTGTAACCCAGATTTTTCTCTACATTAGGATATGTTCCACTCAAAATCCAAAATTTTTTCAAAATAGAGGAGAAGGTACCCTTACACAAATTCAGATCATGCTATAGAAAGAACTTTCTTCACCCTATGGTTCACTACTAGTTTCTTTTTAAAAGGATAAACTTTATTGTAGAAACCATGTGTGATCCATATAAAGGAATAGGAAAATTTCACATTTTTGTGGCATCATCAAGGACAATTTTTCCGAGAATGCGCTAATGCAATACCAGACATAGTAAGGAGGCTATTTTAAGTCTTTCATTCGTCAGAATGTGTCCATAGAACGATGAGTTCATATGATTTGACTAATTGTTGTTTGTTTTTGTTTTTACAGACCACATGTTTTTGTTTGTTTAATTTGTGATCAGGCAGAAAAGATGTGGTTATTTCGTGCGTTTTTTCGTTTTATAGCAATGCAAAGTAATTTCTCAAAGGTTGTGAAATTAAATAAAATGAGACGAATGAATGACTTTGTTATTCACAAAAAGTGTGAGATTTATCAAAAGTCCCCGTCTATAATAACAATGACGCGACTCAAACAACAACAAAAAGAATCGATAAATAGAAAAATACAAGTGAACAAGTGTACGAAAATAGAGAGATAGTAAAGAAAGAGTAGATTAACGAAATATTTACTATTCTGCACTATAGATGGAGTTTTAACAGTGAATGTCGTAGTTTATTCCAAAAGATGTAAAATCCTATTTTATTTCAATATAGAACTTTCAGTTGATGTGTTTGGATTACTATAAAACGAAAAAATACGCAAAACAGAGACATCTTTTCCATCTGACCACATACCAGTTTAGACAAACTTGTGTTGTTTTAGAAAATACCGTGATGTACTAATTCGATTGTTAGTCTTATTAAACCAATATTTGTTACAGGTTATGCGTCTGTTCTTCTTCCTTAAGTTGTTTAAATAAATTTTTAAAATACTGTTTTTACTCAAAAAAGCTGTATTATCTGTTTTCATCACGTCATTCTCCCGGATAGATAATCGTGTGTTATCAATGAAGAGTAAAATTAAGATCGGTATTACGGACTGTGCTCGGTATGCAAATTATGAAAAATGGTTTCTTGATGCCCCTGAATCCGTTGATGTTATATGTTTATCTTATCGTCTCAATAATGCTGATGATGTTGAAAAATGTGATGGTATGTGAAAAGTTTATTATATATTCTTTTTTAATTAACTAAAAAAGTTTAACAAAGTTTTTCTATTTTAGGTATTTGTTTATCCGGTGGAGAAGATGTTCATCCTAAGGTTTATAAAAAACCAGAAGTATTAGAAAAATTAAACTTAGTTGATATTGATGAAAATCGTGATGATTTTGAATTGAAAATAATTGAAAAAGCATTAAAAAATAAATTACCCATTCTTGGAATATGCAGAGGTATGCAATTATTTAATTGTTATCTTGGAGGAACTCTTATGCACGACATTCCATCTGTTACACAATTAAATGGTCATGGAAAAGTACAAGGTGAGTGAGCTTCAGCGAAAAAAGTGTAGAAGACGAAATTTTTTTCATTTCTCTCTCTCTTTTTTTCTCTATTAGGTATTGATCAACGACATGATATTAATGTTGCAGAAAAAACACTTTTAAATGAAATAACTGGCTGTTTAACCGGTGCTGTTAATTCAAGTCATCATCAGTGTGTTGAGACATTAGCAAATGATTTATTGATTGCAGCCAAAGCCGAAGGTATATTATTCATAAATAATGTATCCCTACTATCATCAGCAATTTTAAATATTTACTTTTAGATCCGGTTGTTGAAGCTACACAATGGAAAGATATAGATGGAAATTCTTTCTTCCTTGGCGTTCAGTGGCATCCAGAACGAATGCCTGATCAAGATAATCCCTTTGCATCAAAAATACGACAAGCATTTTTAGCACATATTATTGAAAAAAGTGTCAAATCAAATACCACTGTCATACCAACAGCATCAACCGCTTGTTAATAAGAATCAATGCATTTTTAAATATATGCATTTTTTACCTTTCAATTTTCTCTATCTCTTACATATTATCTAGAAATTTAGTGACCGATATTTTTTGTAGTTGAGTGAGAGAGAATATTATGTCTGATATATGTATGAATGTCGAACTAAATTAACTTTATTTAATTATTTATTTATCCTAGCGCAATCTATTCTTCAAACCCATGACTAAATTTTTTCTCTTTATCTCCTATGCAAATGCTAATATAATGTTTGGTTTTTTGGAACAGTGCTTTTTTGTTTGTTTTTTTACATATGCGTAATTTATTTAAAGAGAATTAACCTATTTCTTACAATCTTTCATTTTTTGTTTTGTAAAATACAAGTATTTTCTTTCATATCGTATTGTAGCAGAGAATTTTTATGTAACCCTCATCATTTTGTTTATTGTTATCAAAAGTAATTTGGCGTTTGCGCTCGTGATAACTCAGCATCGATTTGACATAACCGAATTGTGAAAAATCGCTCAGTCAGTCTCTTCAAGATCGGTCAATGTATTATGTACTTGAAAAATACCATGATTGTTTACTAAGTCTTTTACCGGTGTGAAATACGTATTTTTCTTGGAATAATTATGTAGAAAAGTGACTTTATTCTACTTACATTTTTATCTATTAATCTCTGCTAGAGTTCTCTTTTTATCGACAAAATGTGTTATACATCTATTTGACTCTGATTTTATGGTCGTTATCCTCAATCGCTCTAGATGTACGACTGATAAATGTCAGACATTATAACTATGATTATTTAATCATAGTTTTATTTAGTAATTTTCAACCAATCATCCGACAACTTGTTTTTTTTCCACGCCAACAATTACAAACAGGTTTATATTAATTCACTTGAGCTGGTTGTAAAGATATTTTAATTATGAATACTGTACGACATTAAAATTTTGATATTTAAGTCTCATATGAAGTTTTGAAGGTAAGATGATAGTCCACAGTTCCTAAAGCAATAAACTAGATTGATCTCTAGAGCATATGCCTAATGATTTTGTTTGTTTGTTTCCTTTTACAAATAGTAATTAAATGATGAAGCTCAGAAAGACGAATGAAACTTATGATGTCAGAATTTGATGAACGAAAATTTCTGGATATTTATGTAAATAACGATATTTTTACGATTGTTATTTTTTTTTTTGTTTAATTTTATACTAATTTTAGCACTAGTATTACTTCATCGGCTTGGTACCAACAATTTGAATTATTTTCTATGCAAATGTTTTCGTTGGTATGTATTTATGGTACAATTTGCTCAGTATTCGTTACCGAACACTACTCTATCTGGTGTTCAATATTTAGAAAAGTAGTTTTTCGATTTATCTGCTCTTATATATTTTTTTATTTTGCATGCTAGAAAAATAATATATATTCTTTGCGTTTTTTTCGATCAACAAACAACATTAACAGAAATCCCAGAAGACTACGAACCAGGCCCGTAGCCAGGATTTTTGCGAAGGGAAGGATCGACTTTTGTGCCTTCAGAGATAGTGTGAAGTCTTATCAACTAGCAACTTTTTCTGATGGGATTCAGTGGAAAAAAATCATTTTTTCAAAAGTCAACGGAGTGGATCGGTTCGCCAATCTCCCCCTAGCTACGACCTTGCTACGAACCACGATATTGGGAATATTTCAAAGTAAAATTGCTTCTCATGGATATATATTAGGTTTATGGTGACGATTTATTCGTTCATAGCATCCAATCAAGCAATTTTTTGATCGATATTTAGTACAAGCAATCGATGGACGTTATGAAATACCATTACATGCTATTTATGTTGGAATTATGAAAGATCGTCTAAGGTAAACTGTTTGAACCACTCAGTTTACTATTCAATTATTATATTACACTTTTGCTAGAGCATTAGAACGTAAAGTTCACTGTCTACAACACCAACGTGGCGATTATAAAGCATGTCCAACAAATGATAAAATGGCTGAATTAGAAACAAGACATACAGAAGTAATCTCACGTGGCTTATCATCTGAACGCGGTACAATGAGTCTTTCTGGTCTGGTTGTACCTGATAAACCCGATTATAGTAATAGAAAGTATAAAAAAGAACACCTCTGACTCCCGCCAATGATTCTTTTGGTTTTTCCATTCATCTTCATATATTATCAGCGCGTAGTTTGATATTTTCTGATTCTTGATATTTATACAAATTACACTTTGTATTTTTTTGTGTGAAAAAATAAAACTTGTTTGTACATCAGCAATGCTTTGATATTTTACTTTCAATGCAGTATCTTCGATGTCTGATTTACTTTAGAGCTGAATAATAGTGTCAAAATTGAGACACTAGCTTGGCTACTTAATATCTAACAATAATCTGACACTCAGCAGAGAGATATTAATATCAATTAGTCCTCTTTCAAAAGTCATGTAACGAGATGTATAGGAGATAATTTATCTAAAAGGTGAAAATACTTTTTACAGTCTGAGTAACGTAGAAGCAAAAAACTTGTTTCAAGTATGTTTCCACTCTAAATCTGATATCTAAGAAATATTTTTGGCGACCTAATTTCATCTGTGAATTAGAATTTACCAGATGTGTGTTCTCAGGAAGCAGATGTAACAAGCCTACATTATTAAATCATATGTAGGTATTTGAGACTGGTAAAACTGTATATTTGTAGCATGGTATTATGCATGTCAATAGAATGCATCATTTCTTACACTTCTGATTTTAGAACCCTTATTTTGTATGACAAAAAGTTGATTATGCTTCCCTTCTTTGTATATAGATACACATTCATATGAATGATTCGTACAGAAAGAAAAGAAAAATGTTTTGGGTTGTGCTTTGTTACTTTTCTCTGAAGAGAAAAAAACATGTTTTATGCGCATACACAATCGATTTTATAGTCCATATAGAAAAGTACGTGTAAAATGAAATTGTGTTTATTTTTACTTCAAAATGGATATGATTGTTTTTTCAATACTCTAATTGAAAATTTACAAAATATGTTGTACTGTTACATGAAAGTGCGATACTGTAAACTGCTGAATCGAAAGTACATTTAACCTATGCGTACAATTCGGCTCGTAATTTCTTTTAATTTATGTTCATTTCATCGAGGCCTCGAAAGTTAGGCGGTAAAGCTGCGAATGTCTGTTTTTCTATTTTCAAGACAAACATGAAAGTACAATTGAAATTTATAGAAGACACTTATAACAGAAAATATCGATGTAATGTGACGAAAAAGTAAGATGAAGTTAGGATTAATTGCAAGCTAACGTAAGCTGAGTTTTTACAAATTTATATTCTTTTGCTGACCTTCTGTTTTTCGATCTTTCCCTAGCCTAAATCTTTTGAACTTCTTGGAACAAGATCTTGCTAAGAAGCGTAAAAAACTACTTACTCTAGTACTTTTTAAGTGAAAAAGAGGAAATATATCGGTCAACAAAACTGTTAGTTAGACATACTAAATAGATTCAAAAGAAAGTAACTCTTATTTTTAGCGTTGTATCCTGTTGAACGTGGTCTCGTTTTCTTCTTCATACGGTAAGCAGATAGATACAATTACTGGCTATCTTGTTCTTCGATTTCATATATTTTCTTTAATTTTTAATCTAGGTGTCAGTTCGATTGGAACTGGGACCAACTAGAGGTCTCTAACTACTCTAGCAGATTCATCTGTAAGGGTAGCAGAAATGTATATTTTCTGACACATCTTTCCAGATCTTCATATAAAACATGTGATTTATATTATTATCAATGCAAAACAAAAAAAGTGAATAGGATATTATAGGATTTTCGTTCTTGGAAATCGTATCGTTTCTTACTGTAGGATTCTATGATATATAATATAAAATTGTGAAGGATTACTGTTTTATTATTCCTATAGGGAATGCGATACATAAATGTAACGTTGCTATAGTGTATCCTATGAAAAGATTCTGCATGAATGCTACTACAGTATTTTTGACTTGGGACTGTATTTGCGGCCGACTCTATTAACTACAGAAACCGCTAGCACTGCTGACGAAACCATACGAAAAATATACTTCTATGTGTATACGAAAAACCGTTATGAAGAGTTCAAAAGGCTACATTCTATCGTTTCAAACGCATTCTCTTTTTAGAAAGCTACAATTAAGCGCCACTTCTTTTCAACACAGTAAACTCAGTAATACTCATTTATTTTTTTAAGCCGTTTTGAAATAAGTTATATAGTGCTTCTACGGTTTGTCTTTAACAAGGTCTTGGCTTTCGTTCTGCAAGAGGAACTGCTTGAGGGCTTACTAGAGTAGAACGCTTTATTCAGAGCTCAAAATGTTGTCTTAGTTTTTGTTATTCTATATTGCTAGACAATGTCGTTTTGAAAAGCTTTCACTTACATCCTGAGATAAGTCCAAGGGGATAAAAGCACCACTTCACTTCACTTCCAAATGATTTTGAAGTGTCCATGAAGTGAACTAGTGAAGTGGAAATGAAGAACATAGAGATGAGTAAATAAATTAAAGAGATGTTAGCTGATGTATTTTTGCTTAGTGTGGGTGGAGACAAGCAACGTTTAAGCGCTAGGGATTAAGTATGACCAGTCCACCTTACATGCATGTAGTAAATAAAACTGAGAGTAGGGCAATACTTAGATTTGCCAGATAAAAATATCGCGCAAAGACAAAAAATAAAAAATTGGAAAAACCCAATGAAATAACAAACTGACTTGGCTAGAAGTGAAGTGAACTGATGTGAAGTAGCGAGGTGGTGCTTTTTTCTCTTGGATAATTAACTACGGAGATGCCAAACTTGTCTTGTCTTTGTCAAAGAGCAAAAAGACTTGATGTTTTTCTGGGCGTTTATCCAAGGCTAAAGCATTATTTAAGGTATCAAAAAATCAAGATATTTATACGTTGAATGTTTCTTGGGAAAGTTAAATCAAAAACTTTTTGGATTCAGATATATCTGAATTTATGTTGAACTCCTTTGACTAATATACACTCGAGGACTTTTCTATCTCTTAGAAACTCTTAAGTTTTTTCCTTATCTCGTGAAAGTTAATTGACCAGAGAAATAGAATCTTTCAAACGTAATCCGTTTCTTTAATAAGGTATCGTCTCACTTTTATGTCGGAGTTGGCACGAATGCGCTTTCTTTCAATACAGTCTACTCGTAGAAAATTTTAACAGCCATTTTATCAGATTTTGAAAGACTATTGGATTATTATTTTGAAGGATCTACATACGACGAATGAAGATATCAAATGCATGTATCTTAATATTATTTTGTACCGATTGAGTTTGTATCCAATATTTAGTGCATTCAGTACGATTATGTCAGTTTGGTTTGTTGTGTATGAATATATATTCTAGTGTCGAGTTCGTTTTTTTATTTATGTGTGTATTTCTGGTAGGTATTGATAACTATTGCACTTTTTAGTCATGATCTTTTAAACTCTTTTATTTTGACTGCTCAAAATCTGAATACACAAGTTTATATTGAAAAAGAAATTTAGCTGATACGAAAAACAGATCAAGAAAAGTTTATTAATTCCTGTTTAGATTTTTTGAAAAGTATAGTACAGATGTACATTTAAGCAGCTGTACAATGACAGATGTTCTGTAAAAACCGTCAGTTTTACTTTCTGTATGATGTCTAACATCCCAGGAGCAAACTTATAGGTAAGAATATTAGCCTTAGAAGCTGCGATATTAAATAACGCAAAGTTATTTAAGGATAACTCCTTAGTTCGGTAAAGAAGAATTTAATAAATCTAGTAATCTCTCGTTTGTTGTTGAATTGTTAATTTATTGCGCAATTGTATCTGATGAGGTCCTACCGTTATAATGTATCACTTATTCAAGTTTTAACTGAAACTGGCTCCACTTAGGAGTCACTGCACGAGAGCCACGCCAACACCTGCTCGGTAGCCATCTCGGATATTTTTCAAACCAATTTCATTGTGTAGAGCATATGTGAAAACCTATCCATCCAACTTTTTAGCCTTTCTGGCATATACGATTTTTTCCAGACGAGCAAAATTCGAGAACTTATCTT